GTCTACTAAAACGGTGTTGAGATGCCATGAAGACCGTTGGCACCTTGTCCCTGAACAGGAGGTGCAGTTACTTGAGCAGAGAGAAAGTGGGGCGCAGAGCTCCAGTTCTGAAGCGGCACTCAGCAGGTCAGCTCACATTTCATGGGCCACAACAAGTCCTGTGGCCACTGAAAGGGGCCTTCTAGAGAGGGCCAGAAAATATTTTGAAAGATAATACAATCTACCACAATAGTTTATGCCAGAGTCGGCAGACTACAGCTTGTTTTTAGAGTCTATGTTTGTATAGCTTGTGAGCTAAAACTGGTTTTTACATTTTTAAATTGTTGGAAAAAATCAAAAACAACAGTATTTCATAACATGTGAAAATTATATGAAATTCAAATGTTTGTGTCCATTAACAAAGCTTTATTGGAACACGACCATGCTCATCTTTTTCTGGGTGTCCTTTGGCTGCTTTTACGTGCCAACAGTAGGGCTGAGTAGACAGGGCATAGGCCAGGTGGCCCACAGGAGCCTGAGACATCCGCTGCCTGGCACCTGCCAGCCCCTGTTCTACATCATATTTAAGAGGCTTCATTTCTGTCATATTTTTCTTAGATTTTTTATGGGTAGTGTTAGCTGATTTTTTAAAGCCTAGCCTACATGTGGAGTTGGCTGTGCCATCTAGTTTTACACAGTCACAGAGTTGCCTTATGACAGGATTTCTCAGAATGTGTCCCTGTTGTTAAGCGACACATGACTGCACTTTTGTTTGCCCTCTTTTTTTGTATTCTTAATTGGATTCAGAAAGAGTTTTTAAAGCTCATGACCCACCTAGACACATATTAATTGAGTAATCAGCCATTCATTTAGCTCAGGTAAGTGAGACATTTGGATCCATCATACAATAAAGTAACCAGCTGTCCTGCCCACCCCTCCTGTCTCACCAGGGTACCCCACTGGTCTGTGGCCCTGCACCTGTGCCAGGCAGAGGCTGCTGCTCAAGGGGCCTTGCATGTCCTTCTTCACGGTTCCCATTCCTTAGCAACCCAAAGGGGCCACTTCATCAACTGCTTTCTTCTTGCCTGCTCACCCAAATTTTCCATCTTTCACTGAGCCAAGGGTCTAGACATTTTCAACACAGAGTTTGCAAACAACCCGAGGCAGAGAGACTTTATGGGCTTGGCATTTTCCAAAGAGTAGGCTGGGCTGTGACCTACGGAAACTTTTCATTGTGTTTATCCTTTCTTTTTTTTATTTCTGTTTTATCCTTGTTAATTATATTCTCCTATTTTGTGCATTTTTCTCATTTCCTGAGTGCTATGTACCTCTATTTTCAACCTCTTATCTTTAATAATGAAGGAACGTAAAGCTTTTACTTAAATATTTTACTCTCTGTAGAGCTTTAACCAGTTCCATAGGTCTGGAAGTGAAACACTTTCCTTCACATTATTTTCTAGATACATTTATAATTTAGTCTTAATTACCTTTACAGAGGGGACTTTGATTTCCAAGTAAGATTTGTTTGGTTATCTTATAACTATTTTCAATTTTATTGAATTATGAACTAACCTAATAAACCAAATTTTATTAGATTATGTACTAATATGATTTTTAAAACTATTTCATGGATATGTGAAAATCTATACTTTCTACACTTGAGATACAAAAAGTTTATTTATACACACACATTTTCTGCACAAGCACATCATGTATACACATACAAGAAGCACAGATACTGAAGCTTTTTACATCATTCAATTCCTTGTTTTTGATTTATCAATAGTGGACTATTCAAGTTTAGAAATAAGAGTGTTATAGCTCCCACAGTATTTCTATTATTTTCAAGTTTTCTTTGCAATTCTAAGAGCCTTTCGATTATTTACTTAGCTAGTATTTTGCGTTGTCTCTAAAGATGTTTAATTATTATGTCATCTTTATTGTTCCTTCTTTGGATGACAACATCCCTCTTTGTCCTCTCAACACTGTTCACACATTTCACATTGCCTGTGTCCATATTGCCACACCATTTTCTTTTGATTTGCATTTACATGGTATCTATTTGTCTGACTTTTATTTTCCACTTTTATTTAGCACTCCCTTTGGATGAGTTTTGTTTTTGAACCTAGACTCCTGTCCCTGCTTCTACCAGGGACTTCAGTGTTCCCAGGGAGTGTAGTGAGTGTGGTTTTACTCCACTCCTTCCTCATTTTGATATGCTTCACTCTGATGTGTCGTTGCTTCTTTTCCTGTTTCCTAACATTTGCTAATTTGGTCAAGTTACTTGTCCTTCTTATTTTTAACCTTATCTTAATTTGTAAATTCCTCTGTAACTTTTAATTCTACCTAGGATTCCTTCTGTTTCTCAACATTCATCTTTCTATTATAGGAAAAGAAGATCCCAAATATCTCCCCTTAGAAGATCCTCTATTGCCTATGGCTTCTCCCTCTCCCCAGTAAGGAGATTATTTATATGCCTTTATTCTTCATCTTTTCCCCTAAACATTTGGATTTGGCTGATAGTGTTCACTACTTTTAGTCAGACTATTATTAAGTTTTCCCAGGCAGGTGACTACGATATCATATCCTGGCCTAACCAAACTCACACATTGCAGCTCAATCCATGGAAATCCACTGAGATAGTAACACAAGCACAGAACTCACATAGGCCCGGAGTGCATACCACATGCACACACATGTACACGCGTCTGTACACCATGGTTTGGTCCTCAATGAACTGATTTCAGATCTCATTCAGATACATGACCCCAGCTCCCCAGTGCAGGCTCTGTTGTAGTTTAATGTCCCCAAACTGTATAACTACCAACTCTACCTACTTCAAAACTACCAGCTACCTTGTTACACCCCCCAAAATCCATTTTTGAGGACACAAGTAATGACATTGAATCACAAACATTACCATGGGGCATGCCACCGTATCCATCATGGCTTGGAAGAAATATGCCAACTCTTTAAGATCCTACGTACAATTTATTATCCACTGTTATCTGAGATGTGTCCAATAATTGTACACACATGTATAAATACATATACCTGCACAGAAAGACGTGCGCATCAACACATCAACCATGGGAGCAGCAGGAGGCAGCCCTGAGTGAGGACCAGGCCCCCTGCCTCCTAACAGCTGGGGGGTAATTCACAAGCCTCTTGTTACTTTGGAAGACATTAAATCATAAATTTTTCTTTGCTTGGTAACTTCAAATGTAAAAATCAGCGACAGCTGCGTGTGGATTTCTCCGAGTTTCCAGCCAGGGTCTGTGGGTAGCTGAGGAGCTCCGTGTCTCCCGTGTGAGTCTCCAGGCCTCGCTAGCAGCATGGAGGGGAAGTGCGAGTGCAAGGGCGAGGGCTGGTGCAGCTCCCCCCGGGCCATGTTGTCCTGGAGGGAAATGCCTGTGCCGCCTTCCAATGGGCATCAGCAAAGTAGACTCTCTGGACAAATGTGCCGTACCTGCTTGGCACAGAAACAGAACAGTGACGGTGTGACATATGCTGATGTCTTAAGGAAACCAAAAACCACGTTAGAGCTGCTACCCAAGAAGAAGTGAAACTGAATACTGGATAATGTAAATAAAATACTCCATGGGACAGGGGCAAGATGAAAGAGATGCCTGCCCCTCCGGAGTGCAGGACCTGGAAGAGGACAGGCAGCGGCAGGCATAACAGTACCAAGGACGCGCCGAGTCACACCGGGAGCAGCGGAGGGGAGGAGGGTGGAGGCGGAAAGCCCGCTGCAGCTGCAGGAGGGTGGGAGATGCCACACGGCCCTGAAGAGGGCGTCTCAGGCCCGCAATGGGGCGCAGACTGGCGGCCAGGAGAGGACGGGGCCATGCCACAAAGGGTGCTTACATCAGGAAGTTGTAGCCTCGATGCTAGAGGCCCGCTGTGTTCAGACATTTGTGCTCATGTGCCCACCACGAGGGCTGTGGAAATCTGCATCCCCCTCGTGTGCATTTCCCATGTGACCTCTAGCACTTTTCATCGCAAGCTTACGTAACTGCCAAGGATATAATCCTCGGCATATTGTAAATATTGACTTTTTAAAACTATTGCATCACTTATATCCAGTGGTGTCTAAGTACTATCCAATTTGATACATACCCCATGATCTGTTTTCAGAAATACATAACAGTGTCCTCCAAAAGTCATAAATTTTACGTCATTTCTTTTTTCTCACTGACTTTATGCGAGGGAACCTTCTTTTGTTTGGGAAAGTGCTTTATTGGTTATGTGGAGATGCCCGGTGTGGCAGGGACGGGAAATGGGGACAGGCGGAAGGTTAATCACCCTGCTCCGTCAGAGACTGCCAAGCTCCCGGGCGTCCGCACCCGGGCTTGCACACAGATGGCGGGGCGCCCGCCCGCCCGCCCCGCAGGTCTGCTGCTGTCCCACAGGCGTCCTCGGGCTGCTGTCTGCCCCGCACTTCAAAACCACTGCTCAAGAAAATCAAGCAAAGAGGTATTTTTCTCGAACTGCATTTTTTAGGGCTTTTGTCTTTATTTTTTGCTTAAAGGAATTTTCTGCTTTCCTCTGGCCCACCGAGAATAAAAGCAATTTGAGGAGGCACCCGATCCAGCCGCAGAGAAGGAAGAAAGACTCTCCGTGCGAGACCAGACCCTGTCAAGGAGGTGTCAGGCCGGGAAAGGAGAGCGAACGCGCTTCTTGATAAAGGCACTAAAATGGAGGTCCCTACGGCGGCGACTTTGCCTTGTGGGCTGCCAAACTGCCAGCTCTGGAAACACGGTCAGGCACTCGGCAGGCCCCGGGCAGATGCCGAGCGAGTCGTTCTGGCAACGAGACTGTCTCTGCGCCACGGGGCTGCGGGTCTCTGCGCCAGCCGAGGCCGGAGCTGTCTGTGCCGCGGGAGCGCGGGCGGAGGCGGGGGTGGCCCGGCGCGGGGTGGCCGGGCGCGGGCGGAAGCGGGGGTGGCCGGGCGCGGGGCGGAGGCGGGGGTGGCCCGGCGCGGGCGGAAGCGGGGGTGGCCCGGCACCGGCACGGTCGGAGGCAAAGGCGAGGCGCCAGCGCAGCCGCTCCTGCAAGCGGGGCCGGCAGCGGGCTCGGGACTCCGGTCACAACGTCCCAGCAGTCTGGGGAAGGACTTTCCCAGTATCACAAAGGCAGCTTGAGGCATTTCATTTTTGGATCAAAGAGAAGACAAGGAGAAAGTGAGACGCCAATGAAGGATGGCATTGAGAGTGTCATTTCACCTCCCCGGATCTCAGTTTCCTAATCTGAAAATAAAAGGTTTTAAACCCATGGACCTCTGGGTGCCCTCCCAGTTCCAAGAGTGTGGATTTGCTGAGGTTTTTCATTAAAGTAGCGGTAACTGGCCCTGCGCATGTGCCCTCACTCTGGATCGAGGCCAGAAACTTCACTTTCACTTTCCAGGGGAAGCTCCAAAACCAAAAGAAAGTGACAGCAGGCCCAACCCCAAACCAGAGGATTGACTATCAGTTCTTTCTCTTTCTAAAGGTTTTGGAACCTTATTTATTCCCTATTTAAATTAGCACAGAGAGGCTGTGCTTTCTGAGGGATGTAGTCACTGCCGGGTGGAGACAGGTGATGCTAAGGGAAGCATCTTGGACGACCTGGCCAAGTGCAAAAGCAGGTTTCTGAGATCCTGCGAAGTTGAAGTTTGGAAACCCTGCTCTACACCTATCTTCCAAGAGCACAAACACCCTGCCCCCTGCTGCAGCCCACTCGAGCACTGCCCTGAGATTAAACCCAAAGGAGTGCACAGGCCATTCTTGTGGCAGGACCGTTCCGTTGCTGTGTCAGGAGCGCCAGCCGTGGGACACTTCACACTGCTCAGTGACACAGGCGCAGGCTGCAAGGGGCGCTGAGGGGCTCGGCGTAAGCACAGGTAAGAGCTCAGGACCCTGGCTGAGATGTCGATGCGGGGGCATGCCAGGCAGATGACACCTGCCAGGTGGCAGCACACAGTGATCTCTGCAAACTCCCCCTGAGCCAGTCTTTGTGGAACTTGCGTGTCTGTGCTGTCAAAGAACAAAGTTTCAACAAATTGTGTTCAAAGATCTAAATGGCTTTCACTAACAATTATGAATTGGGCAGTGTCCCATCTATTAAATAGAAAGGTGCTCTGGCGAGCTGAGCAGAGGGGTGGGCGTCACAAGCAGAAAAAGCCAGAGAAGCAGAAACAGGGAACTAAAGGTGGGTTTTTGTACCAAGCTCTGGCTCCAGGGCCCCTATTGTTAATCACCATGATACATGGCTTTTCCCCTCACCCTTCCTGCTCACGCTCCACTCCTTTGTAGACCCTCTCTCAGGCCTTTTGTAATTGTTTTCCTTCTTTTCCTGGGATACTCTTCCCAATGTTATTGGCTTAGCAAAATCCTATTTACCCTTACAGTTCCATGTACCCAACACAGGAAGATGTCCTTACGCTCACTCTGGATATTAGAGTTCCCCAAACGTCTTATATGCATATTGGAAATGGCATTTATCACATTGTGTTGCACATCTCTACCTACGAGATGCTTCTTCCCAACCAGATGGTGAGCTCCTCTGTGTCAGAGGCTGGTCATGCACACCAGCATCCCCAGTCCCCGCAGGCTGTGGGCACATGGTGCATATGCGTTAAACAAGAGCTGAGTGAATGAGGAATGGGTACATCTTTGCCTTGCTTTGTGTAATGCATGAAATTGCTGTGAGCATCAAAGAGGCTGGTGCACATGAAGGTGCTCATCAACAGAAGGGCTGACGGAAGGCCAGGAATGGAACAAGAATCTTTTATTGTGCACAAACTCTGTGCCAGTCATTGTTGCTGGGCTTTTGTGCAAGTACAGGTATTCTGCAAATACATTTCAAAATATTTTCTGTAAGGCTGGAAAGTGGGTCCAAATGGGAAATCTAAAACTATAAGAAATTTGCTTCTTTGCTTTTTGGGTGGAAGCTAAATCCAGGCTTGCAGCTGGCCCTCCCCAGACTGGCAGTGGGGTGTTGGGGAGCCTCCTTGGTTATGTGCACATCAAATGCATTCTCCTAATTCACAGGGGTAGTAGCTTGGATATTGGTGAAGTCTCCCAAATGTTTGTAGACCAGACTAAAATAATAATTGGCTCACACTCCCATGAGGAAACAAGCAATTAAGCAGTCAGGCCCTCGTTTTCCCACGCCTCTGCCCACACACTGTCCTGCCATTCTAACCAAAGTGACACCACTGCTGCCCAAGGCTGCCTGCCCCTCCTCTATGCTCAGGATCTGTCCCCTCCTGCGAGCTCAAGAACCTGTGTCCCACAGTCCCTCCTGCACTGTGACCTGCTTGCCAGGCCCTCCCTCCCTGCTGGACATCCCATGGACACACAAATCATCGAGGAGGTCCTTTGCCTAGGAGCGCACCCTCCTCACCCCCATCTCCTCCCCAGCTGCACCTGCTCACGTCAAAACTTCTGAAATCCCTGTCCACACCTGACCTCGCGTCTATGCAGAGTATAAGAAAGCCCGATCCACAGAAACAGAGAGCAGCGGGGCGGGGCGGGGCCGGAGCTGGGAACTCAGGCGATGCTGGCCGAAGGGCACAAAGCTTCAGTTTTGCAGGATGAAGGGGTTCTGGGGGCCTGGTGTGTGGCACGGTGACTGGTTGACACTGCACGGTGTGGCATTTGCTGAGAGAGCAGGTCTGAAACGCCCTCACCACACACTCAGTCTGGCGTGCGCTGACGGACACGGTGGCCAGCTTGACTGTAGCAATCAGTTAATATGTGCAGGTACCAAAACATCACGTTGTACACCTTAAATATTTAATATATATAATTGTATTTAAAATTTTTAATTTTAATTTTATTTTTTAAAAAAAAGCTGTCCAAGCTTGCAGTCTCCACTCCTCACTTTCCATCCTCTCGTCAAGCAGCTCTGACCTGCTCCCATCTCTACACTGTCTCCCTCCATCCCTGCAGCCCATTCTCTATGACACACCTAGAGGGGTCCTTGTAAAACCTGAACTGGGTCATGTCATCCTGTGTGTAAAGTCCCAGTGGCTTCTCCTTGTCGTTAGAATAGAACCTGAGGTTCCTGTCATGGCCTTTGCGGAGCTACTGAGCTCTCAGGTCCTCATCTGCAGATGGGGCCCTGGGATCCCCCCTGCTCGAGCCGTGAAGATTGCTGTTGATGCATGTTGACACATGCACACCATGACAGGGGCTGGCACACAGGAAGTACTGTGTGAGTTATCACCATTGCTTCAACTGCACGTTTCATCAGCGTTGTTTGTGAGTTACCTCCTCAGAGGGGCAGGGTCAAAAACCTGAAAGACAGACCCCTGCCAGTCCCTTCTTCCCTTCCCTCTGCTTCCCCCACTCCGCCACCCTCCCTGCTCTGTCTCCTGAGCCTCCCCTGCCCACTCTCCCTCCCCCCACTTCCTTAGCGTCTCCATAAGGGCGGCAGAGCTCTGAGCGGGCCCTGGAGCCGTGAAGGTCGGCTGAGCTGTGCAAGACCGAGTGGGAGAGGAGCAAGGGTGCCCCATGCTCCGCCGGCCCCCTGGGCTCCCTTCTGCGTCCCGTGGCTCAGCACTGGGGGGGAGGGCTGGCGTGGGATGGCTCGCAGTCACACCACCCGTCACCGTCACCAGGCTCATCTGTCAGCATCTCGACTTACACATTTGCTTTTAAATGTTCCCGAGCTGAATGGATTTCCCTACAGTGAAGGTGTCTTTTTAAAAGTGACCATGACTTAAAGAGTATTTCAGAACAGGTTATAATAAGAACCATAGGTGTTGGTACGTGATTCTACAGTTTGCTGAGCACTTTCACAAACCTGGTCTAACTAATCCTCACAACAACCCAGCTTACAGGAGGAATGGAGCCCCTGAAACCTGGCAGGTTAGAACTCTAACCCAAGTCTTCTGACTCCAAATCCTATGTCATTTCTACTCTGCTTCTTCCAAGAGATTTTTGCCCTCTTGCAACATTGGAGGGAAATGAGCCAATAGAATAGGAAGAACTAGAACAGCGAAGGCCACCATCTTTGCGGGGCTCAGCCAGACCCTTAGCAACCTCCCAAACGGAGCTGCCAGGTCCCTCGCGGACAACCCGCCCAGGCCTGCCTTCCCCGGAGAGCCAGCCACCTCCGAGCGTTCCCACCACCTGCCGTCCTCCTGCGGTCCCACGCTGGTCACCCACCAGTGTTCCCCGCAAGCTAATCTGATCCGCGGATCTCTGGCAAAGGTCCTGGGGTGCTGCCAGCACGGGGCCAAGGATGCCTTGTCTCTGCCTTTCCAGGGAATCCGAGGCGTCCTAGAGGCCATGCTCTTCTGTGCTGCCCCAGCCATGCAGCCCTGGTGAGGGAGAAGAGGCCTGTGGAACGCCCTTGTCCGAGTCGCAGGGCATGTCGCTGGGGCACACAACTACTCAGAAACAAGCCCAGCCGGGATGACCCTGGGTCCGAGAGCTCCAGGAACAGGCTTTGCCTCAGAGGAGGCCGGGGAGAGCCACAGTGGAAACTGCATTTACCTGCTTGGAAGATTAAATCCAGACCTCGCTCCTCAGTCCTTTCCAGGCCACCCACACAGGAACACTTTTTAGCTTGGGGCTAAAGCTGACATTTTCAGCAATTTCAGCTACTGCGTTGGCCTCAGACCCAAGACCTAGATCCATCCAAAACTTGGCCCAATTCTACATTGAGACTTTCATGTTGGAGAGCCTGATACCAACAGTAGCCCTTCCCTGCATGCCTTAGCAAACAGAAACAAACATCATTGCACCCCAGAACTGGAGAATCATGCTTGGAGTGATGAACCTACCTCTGGTGGTTTTCATGAAGTTTTTGGACAGAGAAGAATTGGCAGAACACAGGGTGTTTTCTTGTTTGGGCCCGTGGTCCATTATGTGCACTTGAACACAAAGTTCCCTTGGTCTCATTGTTTAGTCTTGTGAAACATGGATAATGGGGCTATTCCTTTCTTCTTCTGTTCGTTTTTAAGGAAAGGTTTTACTCTCTCTTTTTTTTGATGTATGTATGCATGCTTCAGAAAATGAGGTTATTAAAATAGCAAAACAAACTCAAACAGCAGAGGACAACTATAGTAGAAGGTGCATGGGATACCCAAAAGAGCATATTAATAACCAAGCAGTATTTATTAGCCAATGTATCCTCCCAAAACCCTTTCATTTTTTTATTTTTAAATTTCAGAATATTATGGGGTACAAACACTTTGGTTACATATATTCCTTTTACACCACCCAAGCCAGAACTATAAGGGTGCCCATCCCCCAGACAGTGCACCCCTTTCTTCTTAATGAGATCAATGAGTCAAATGTTTGCAAGATGTCTTGAGAAGTTTGCTGGAAATTTTAAAACAAATTCTTTCAAAACCATTTCCTCAAAAACTCAGTTTATTTAATTCTTTAGTTCTAAAATTAAATGCAACTCTAAAATGACATTTGAAAAGAGCAAGATTACAATTCCATTGTCCGCTATAAACACTGTCGTAAACACTGGAAGCAACCTTGGCTAGCTGAACCCGTGAAAATTATGTCTTAATCTGACTGTGTCTTTCCATTTCTCTGACTTCACATTACCAGAAATGTGCAGCTCATTTCATGTGACATTTATTCAAGGTTATGATAACAACCTGTCTCCCCAGTGATGCGTATGTTCCCGCCCTTCAGCCCAAGGTCCCTCAGCTTTTCTCTCAAAGTGCTTTTGTTCTCAGTCATTTTGGCCAGAAAGTTCCTGGTTCAGAGCTGAAGGTAAGTACATTTTCTACTTATTTCTCAGCTTCTTGAGTGCTTTGGGGTCATGACTAGAGCAGGTGGGAACAAAGCCGGGAAAGGTAACATTCAGAATTCCTCCCAATGGCTCATCTTTTTAATTATGGTCTTCCGTCCTTCCTGAGGGAGGATATTATTTTTCTAACTAAACTATAACAGTGAAATGTATTGCTTTTATGTCTAGCTAAACCAGTCTCTATGAATAAATTTATTAGTCCCTCTATTAATCTTTAAATTATTATCAAGCTCTATTCAAAGACTACAGCTAGTCTTTTCCAGATGGAATTAAAGGTGAAAAAACTGACGCTCCTTTTACCCCTTCTGGAGAGCTCCCTTTCGCCTGCTAACTTTTGTTTGTAAGAGCTGGGTGATTTTGCTGCTTCGGGGACGGGAATGCCGGCACGTGGCGGGCTCCCCACCCTCGGACGTCGATGTGTGAGCCATCCAGCACCAGCGCACGAGCAGGACTGCTGCGGTCCCCTCGGTAACAAAGCACCCTCTGACTTCTCAGGCAGCAACGTGGGTGCAGGACAAACAAGAATTAAACACGTATTCATTGTCACACTCTCCTGCAAAGTGGTTATCTCCTGGATCGCACCTCTGCTTCCGCTCTGTCAGGAGTCCTGTGACACCAAGAAAGGAGGCCCCAGGCTTTTGATGAGGACAGGTCTTCCTCATGTTTTATTTTCCTAAGCTGCCTTGGGAGAACTGTCCCCATTCTCCTCTCCCACACACACATACACACATACTCATACGTACTCACATGTACAGAAATACTAACACAACACATACTCATACACACATACATGCATACATACTAATACACACATACTCATACATACACACATACATATATTCATAACACATACATACTACACGCACATACACATACACACATAGATACCAACATACACATACACATACATACACACACAGTCCAAAAGGGATGGAAATGCAATGGGGGCGGGGGGGGAGGGCTGCCAGGGCAAGGCTGTGAGCAGAGTGGAGGGAGGAGCGCCGCAGGCCCAGCAGGAGTGCAGGGTGGCGGGGTGGTCACCTGCTCCTCACACCTGCTCACATCGATCAAAGCCGTTTACCAGCCCCAGTGCAGGCCTTGTTGCCAGAGTGGAGCATCCAGGAGTCCAGGGCTCGGGCACACCCCTCTGCGACAGCCCTTCACACTGGCTCCTGGGTGGGACAAAGACCCACACAGAGCTGGGGGCAGGAGCGGGAGCCGTAATCCCGCCGGGGACCGGGGTAGGCTGGGCGGGCAGGAAGGGCATGGACTGGGGGAAGGGGCTCGCCCGGAGCAGAGTTACCGTCTCAGCGCCCGCGTCTCTCCGACTGGGAGGAGCTTTGCTCCAGCAGCCAGCGGCCCTCCCTGCCTCAGAGCAGCCTTAAGCCGTAGGGGAAAAGCCATAACCTCATGCAAGTTTCCCTGAACACTTAGTGTCTGAGGTACTTGTAAAGTGACCTTTCTCGCCAGTGCAGCACTCCTGTCACTCACTGTGCACACACAGCCGACAACCAGGCTCACACCCGGTCAGGACGGCCTCATCCCCGGAGCTCAGAGCCACCGTCTTCCCGTCTGTGAGCGGTGCCATCGCAGACGTAAGAACTCAGTGCTGCGGGAACAGAGCCTCGTGCTCCTCCGGGGTGTGGGGCAGTTTAGTAAAGTCTGCAGAGGCAGGAACACAGGGCTTTGCACGGAGAGGTGGCGAAGGACGTGCTCAGGCTCGGAGCAAGGGTGCGGGAGCAGATGGGCAGACACTGGTGCCTGGTGCAGACGGGACCCCAGCCTGCGGGGTGGGAGGGGGGACACGAGGAAGGCAGGAGGAGGACAAGGGAGGGCACCCGTGGCTGTGAGGAGCAGAAGTCGGTTTCAAAGCAAGTGCTCACCTCAGACTGCGACAGCCTCAGACGTGCGCCAGGGAAAGCCTCAGACATGCGCCAGGGAAAGCCTCAGACATGCGCCAGGGAAAACCTGCAGGCAGGAGCGTCCGAGCATCTGCGGCTGCGGCAGGGAAAGGCCCCGTGAGACACTGGTGGGGGGAGGGCGTCGCAGGCCAGGGCAGGCCCAGCAGAGCTCAGAGGAGGGGAGACTGGAGGTGGTGGCAGGCGAGGGTCCGGGTGAGGCGCAAAGGGCACGGAAGACCCCCTCGGACCTGAGCTCCACCTCCCCAGCTGTGAAAATGGGCAAATGGCTCCCCTTCTTTGGACCTTCCTTTGCTCATCCTAAAATGTGGTGACATTGTCATTTCTGCCTAATTTCCAGTCTCATTGTGAATATCAATTACAAAAGTGTGCTGTAAGCAGCAGTGCTCTGTAAAGCGTTGTCGAATCTGCAAACCTGCAAGGGACCTTTACTATCGCTTGTGGGCTGCTGCTGACACTGACAGGTGCGCCTGCCTGTACCTGCACCAGGAGGGGAATAAGGCTGCCCCCGAATAAGGCTGCCTCGAAGGCCTCCCACAGTCTGTTCTGTAGGGTCTACAGGGCGTGCGCTGACTCAGATGAGCATTGCCCATGGTTAATGGGCACGGCCAGCGCGCAGCCAGCCTTGAGTTGTGAATGCGTCTGCCCAGTGAGACCAAAGAACAGCCGTCAGCTGGGGCGGGGGCTTGGCACCAGCAAGGGCCGTTGGGGCAGTCCAGGAACAGTGAACGAACTAGAAATGCATCTGTCCTTGGATGTCTGCTATTTCTTTTAAAAGAGTGTTGATTAGTGAAACCCACAACTCTTATTATAACGCTACCTTATGTTATTGTACTTAATCCCCAGGTCGCCTCAGAGCCCTGAGCCTCCCCACACCTGGCTTTCTCCTAGCTCTAGGCCCACACAGACCCGGCCTCCTGACTGACACCTGCCCCTTCCAGACACTAGGCCTCCTGTTGGAATGACGCAGAGACTGAGGCCTTGGAGCAGGGCCAACTCAGGGGCTGGGTGACCGTGAGCAAGTTACTTAACTTCTCTGAGTCTCACTTTTCTTATACATGAAATGGGTGGAGGAGCAGGAAATCGGAGTATGCCCACCTTTAGACTTAATTTGGGCATTAAAGGAGAATGCCTTGCATTTTGCCTCTGCTCTGACCTTTAACATGGCGACAGTTGTCAGAGACGCCATGGTAAAGTCAAATTGCACTTAAAGCACAGAATTTCAAGTATGTGCTGATGTACTGGGGAGTTTGCTCTTTTAACTGTTAGAATATTAATTAAAATTGCTGAGCACACATTTTGGGCCCTGCCCAGCAGAGAACGAATGCCTTAAAGTGCTCGCAGGTGAGCCCGTCCTTTTCCGTGTCGCCCGCCGGGCAGCACGTGCCTTCAGCCAGCGAGCAGCAGACACGCCTGTCCGCTCCCGCGGATGTGCACGCCGCGCCTCCTCGGCTACAGCTTGGTGGGCAGCACTGTGTTCCGTATATCTTTTTGACTCCCAGTGATAAATAACCTAATACTGAATCCTGAGGTGCTCAAACATGCCTATTCTTTAGTTGATTACTTGGGTTAAAGCCCCCAAAACGTCATAAAGCTCCGCCCTCCCTTCTTCCCATGTGCCCACAGCCCCGGCTTTAGGGCAACGCTCTCCTCCCTCTGGGACGGAGACCTCTCCCCAGCCTCAGAGGGCACAAAGCATGAAGTCTGTGACCGCCAGTTCCTCGGCACTCCAGAGCAGGGGCCAGAAACAAGACGCGGATAGCAGCGTCGCGTTGGCCTTGTGGACATCGCCACCGTTGCGCTGCTGTAAGCCTGCAGGCATCGCACAGATAGGAAGTTTAAGATTCTTCATCTGGAAGAAAAAAACAGATGTTTAATATTTATTTAATGGCATTTCTTCAGCTAACTAAACCAGTTACAAACTGTTTTATGCTTTTCCAAAAGAGGAGACAGCTGGAGCTATTTCAGGGATGGGGACAGAAAGGGACTGTGCAGTAAAGAACCTAGCATTCATTTGTAAGTGCACAGGGTTTAATGGCGTTTCTCCATTCAGTAAAAACGAAGCTCGGGGAGAGTCGGATGCTGCCAGGGCTGCCCCCTGACACCCGGGCCCGGCCGTGGCTCCCGTCGCATTCCTGCTTCCTGGGTCCTGGGTCCCTACACTGTGGCGGGCCCTTCCCTAACAGTGGCCCTGGCTATGGGGCTTTCCTGCTTCACACTCTCACCCAAGGCAACTACACCTGCTCATGTTCCCTTCTGAGCCAATCTGACCACTTTGTGTAAATCACAAATGACGGGATTAAGTGAGCCTGTGTCAAGTTTGTCTCAGGTGTAAAGAAGTAAGAGAGATGGAAAAAGAAAGTGTTTTCTGGAGAATATGCTTTTGCTCAAAGAAGACGCCATGATGGGGTGGCAGACAAGGATCACTTTGTAAGAGAGAGACTGGAGACCCGGGGCCACCCAGAACCCCCCCACTGCGGCTGGCGTGATTTGAGGCGAGCACTGTAGTGTGGGAGGCAGGGGTGGGCTGAAAGACCCCAAGCTGCCCCTCTGTTCCCAGACCCCGGGTCACTGAAGGGAGCCCCAGTGCCGAGGACTGACAGGACCAGGGACAGCGCCCCCTGAAGGCCCTGTGGGCACAGCTGCCTCTCTTTCAGCCAGGGATAAATGGTGCGTGCGTGCGTGCGTGCGTGCGTGCGTGTGTGTGTGTGTGTTTCATGCACGGCATCCTCTCCGGGATGATTTCCTCAGCTGTCAGACGAGGATAATAATGGTGCCTGCGTCAGGGAGCTGTGGGGGCTCAATGAGTGAGTCCACGTGGAGCGTCTGCCACGCACCCGATGCGTGGCAAGCTTTCACAAAGTCACCGATTAGCGTCACTGTCCCTTCCACCAAGAATGGGGCCATACCCATCGCTGGTCCCCCCCACCAGCTCGGCAGCAATCCCTGAATTCGCAGTGTCAGTGGTCGATTGGTGGCCTGCTGAAGGGGACCACTATGGATACACTACATTTCTGTGCAAATTTAGGACTCTCCCATGGATTTATAAGATTGGCAGCTGCAGATCGGCACCACCCAAGAACCGAAGCTGAGTTTCAAAACTCCCTCTTTCTAAGAAGTGTCAGAATCTCTTTCAACATTTCTCTTGTTTCCTTTGTCAATTTTACCACCAAATGCATTTGAGGTTGAAAATACATACCAGTTCTGATCACATTTAATGGACTCACAAGATGGAAGTATCTGTCCAGATGGTAAGTGAAGAGATTTAGTATGAGGAACTGGCTCAGCTTTGGGGGTCGAGCAGTCCCAACCTCTGCAGCCAGCAAGCTGGGGACTCAGGAGAGCGGGCCGTGGAGTTCCTGGCTGAAAGCTGCAGGCTCGAGACCCAAGAAGAGCCCACGTTTCAATTCTAGTCTGAAGGCTCAGGCAGGAGGAGGAGGCACGTGCCCTCCTCCCTGAGGGAGGCTCGGCCTTCTTGTTCTTCAGGCCCCAGCTGGCTGGGTGAGGCCCCGGCATTAGGGAGGCGGACGGCGGTACTCTGTCTACCAGTTCAATGCGAACCTCCTCCCAACGTCCCCAGACACACTCGGAATGCTTAGCTGAATGTGGGTCACCCTGCAGCTCAGTCAAGCAAGCTGACCCATTAAAACTGACCGTGACAGGCCTGTCCCCTCCCTGAGGGGCTTCCCCGGCAGGTGTGGACGCGTGAGTGGTCACTGCCAGCACACAGACTTCCCAGGGCCTGAGCTTATTGGGCGAGGGTGACGAATCACCTCATTTTTACCCAGGTCTGGGATACAGGACTTTCAGTTTTAGAAATCTGCACAGGTCTCAGGCAAACAGGAATAAACTGTCCCTCCTGGGCAGAGCCCTACCAGCACCTGCCCTTCCAATACACGACGCATCCCCTGTCACCCTCACCTGACACCTGACACAGCGGTGTCATCCACGCAGCCAACTCATGAACGTCCCCTAACTCTTGCCCCGACCCCATCCTCCACAGGGGACTTAGCTCCTCCCCAGGAAAACACTTGGAGGAAGGCAGTGCTGAGCCCCGATGGGCCTGGGTCAAAGCCGCGCTCCCAGACTGGCACTCCACGGAGGCACAGCACGTCATCCTCCTCACAGCGTGATGCTGGCTTCTTCATGCCCCATGGAGGGAGACAAGCTCCACTCTGGAGGGGAAGGGTACAAAGAATTTGTGGTCACCACAATGGCAAAGGCAAATCTGATCTGTCTCATAAAACTGCCTGTGTACAGCCGTTGATGCCGCCATCTGGAAATTGAACCCCTAAAATTGAACCCCACGAGCTCTCAGCGTTGCTCCACCTCAGACTAACTGGCCTGTCTGCCTGAGGGCCAGCGGGATGCTTCCACTGCCGAAGCCCGACTCCGACCTAGAGGCGCTCTGAAGAATGTTAGAAGTCTCCAGAAACCCCACTCCTGGGGGTTCGCCTTTGAAGCAGATGCAGGCCCAGATATGGCACAGTCGCCTCCGGGAACGACACAGCAGCACCTGCCCCGTGGCCCTGACGCCACGGCCGGGCAGTGGCCGAGAAGACCAGCAGTGGAAAGGGGAGAAATCGACACCTTTGCAACAACCTGGACGGGACTGGAGACCGTTCTCCTGAGTGTCTCAAGAATGGAAAAGCAAATGCCACATGTACTCACTGTTAAATGGAAGTAACCAGTGAGCACACATGTGTATAGAGAAAGTAAAATCAGGGAAATCACCCAGGGGAGGGGGAAGGAGGGGAGGGACAAAAACCTACCTAATGGGTACTATGAACACTCTTTGGGTGATGGGCACACCAGGACTCAAGCATTACAAAAGTGATCCATGTAACCTAAAACATTTGTACTCCCTTAATATTTTGAAAGAAAAAGAAAAAGAAAGGACCCAAATATGTCACCAATCCACTGAACCCAGCCACTGCCTCCAAGTCAAAGATATGTAGTTGTTTGTTTTGCTTTCCTATTTCTACACATGTCTTTTGTTTCTTTTGCTTCTTTTCTTATTCAAGGACACCACATACTCCAGTGCATTCATGAGAAGGATGGGGCGAAGGGGAGAGGGTAAAGGGTAACCTTTACCCTTATCTCTGGACTCAAAATTCCACTGAGGATGTCTCTCACAAAGCAGATAAGACGAGGGCTTATTAAATTGTTTTATTTAGATTATTACACTTGTGTATTTTATGGAAGGTTTAGAGGTTTCTTACAGCTTCTGTGGCTGGTTTTTATTTTGTTGCCCATTTTGCAACTGATGTTTCTACATTTCCTCTCAGGTGACTGAGCAATTTCACCGCCTATCTCCAGCAAGTGCAACAAACAAGAGAAGACCAACGATCAATCACGTTTTCCATGAAGTCAAGTCCAAGTAACATCCTGTCTTAAGCACAAGCTAGGGAAATGAAGCACATTACCAATCCATATGAAAACACCAACTATACAGCAAGCAATAACTCAGACTGCCCTCCCGTAGTTTTGCCAGAAGAGATATTTTTCACAATATCCGTTGTTGGAGTTTTGGAGAACCTGATTGTCCTTCTGGCTGTGTTCAAGAATAAGAACCTCCAGGCACCCATGTACTTTTTCATTTGTAGTTTGGCCATTTCTGACATGTTGGGCAGTCTGTATAAGATCTTGGAAAATATCCTGATTATATTCAGAAACATGGGTTATCTGAAGCCTCGTGGCAATTTTGAAACCACAGCCGATGACATCATCGACTCCCTGTTCGTCCTTTCTCTGCTTGGCTCCATTTTCAGCCTGTCTGTGATCGCTGCTGACCGCTACATCACCATCTTCCACGCTCTGCAGTACCACAGCATCGTGACCATGCGCCGTACCGTCATTGTCCTGACCGTCATCTGGACCTTCTGCACAGGGAGCGGCATCGCCATGGTGATATTCTCCCATCACGTCCCCACAGTGATCACCTTCACATCGCTGTTCCCCCTGATGCTGGTCTTCATCCTGTGCCTCTACGTGCACATGTTCCTGCTGGCCCGATCCCATGCCAGGAAGATCTCGACCCTCCCCAGAGCCAACATGAAAGGGGCCATCACACTGACCATCTTGCTTGGGGTCTTCATCTTCTGTTGGGCCCCCTTTGTCCTTCATGTCCTCTTAATGACATTCTGCCCAAATAACCCTTACTGCGCTTGCTACATGTCTCTCTTCCAGGTGAATGGCATGTTGATCATGTGCAATGCAGTCATCGACCCCTTTATATATGCCTTCCGGAGCCCAGAGCTCAGGCATGCATTCAAGAAGATGATCTTCTGCAACAGGTGCTGGTAGAATTATTGATCCCTAATTTTAGAATGCATGGGAATAATATTGCCAAGGGAAAGAATAATGGAACATTCTAATAAATACTAATGTTCCTGCCTGTCCTTTCCTTCCCTAATGGACATGAGGGTTATCCCACTAGCTAGTATATATAACAGTTTGGTTTTATGGGAACAGTTTTGTTGTAGGAGCAACATTCACAACTTTATAACTAGAAAGATAAAATGATGCCCTAAAGGAAGGATAGAATACAAGGCACACACAGCAATTCAAGTGCAAGGGCTCTGGGCTAAGGCAAAGACTTGTTCTACACATACCCAGTGAGCCATCCCAGGTGGCCTCTCCAGGATAGAGGCCACTGCAACCAATTTCTAGAAGCTAGGTGCCAGGGCAAGCGACTCAGGCAGACACCATGGGGCTCTGTAAGCCAATAATAAATTGGTGCAAATAAATTGCTGCAGGCAAATGTGCCTGTCTCCCACAGCCATGCAGCGCCCCCACCTCTCCCCTCCCAGCCTGCCTGCCTGGCATGGCGCTAGCCACCTCCCGTGTCTGTGGGCGCAGGCCGAGCATAAATTACAAATGTCCGGTAACCAGCACTGAGTTTCAGATAACAGATGACCCTTCTCTGTTAGTCTGTTTGCTCACTCAGCATCCCACTAGCCTTAAGCCCTTTCCTGCTGAATCTCCTCATGCTCTAGGAGCATAAATTTCAAAGGAGGAAATAAAAATTTAATCCATGTTGCTCCTGCGTGGGCATGCGCACAGCCAGAAGAAAACTGACTCTGCAGAAGGTATAGCCAAACGTTGTGTGTTTTCTCAAATGTAGAAATGAAGAAAGATCGGCCCTAATACATATTTTGTGGAATAAGTAGAGCATGAGAGAGAGAGAGACAGAGAGAGAGAGAGAGAGAGAGAGAGAGTGTTCCATGCTCTTTTGGACTATGGGGAAAACCACGACCAAGCACGCCAAGCAGCCGTGCTGTTGTTACATCAGAGATCACACCAAAGACTTGATGGAAAAAAGTTCTACCTCCTTCCACAGACCAGTCTGAAAGGCAGATCCAGTCACGGGAAAACTTCCTCCTACCATCAGCCATAGACAGGGAGCCAGATAATGGCACCCCCCAGTAGGAATAAAAGAAGCAAAATGTGTGAGCCCATCCATTTTTAACAACTAAAGCTTAAAGGAGAAGCAAGTTCTGATGGTAAGTCCTTGCTGGACTGAGCATGAGGGGTGCGTGACGCAGGGCGGGCTTCAGACGCACGACGCCCCAGCAGGCTCGGGATCCACGGGAGGGACCGTGTCCTCTGGGAGAGGTGACCTTTGCCCTCGGGAGAGTTTCCCACGTGCTGCTGAGAGGAGAACACAGGACGGTCTGGTGATGGTTAGTGTTAGAAGTGGGAGGGACAGGAGCTCGTCAGAAGCAAAGGAGAAGCCTGGCATTAAGGGAGCACAGTCCCAGTTGTGGCCATGGCCCGTGTCACAGCATGTCTTCTTGTCCTCTTCTGGAGAACCCCTCCTGTCTGGCCCCTTCTCCACCAAGTGGACTATATTACTCTAACAGTAACCTGGATTCATCAATATATAAAATACTGTATGTGAGTTTATTTTCCATGAAATCTAAAGCAAAGCCCCATAAATAATTTTTAAAGTGTTATTTCTACCATTAAAAAAATAATATATAGCACATTTTTTCTGATTAAACTGAGTATTCTCAATAAAATGTAACCTTTCTTTAAAGTCATACTGCTGTATGACACTACGGAAGTTGCCGTTCGACCTCCATCGTAAATGGCCCCAAACTGCTCTGCGTGTAGAATTCTGCCTTGGCAGCAGCTGTGCCATCTCCTCGTCACTCACGAGCACTCTGCGGTCATCACATCGCATCTGTTGTCAGAGGAAAATCACCTAGAAATTCCTCCACCTCTCACTGCCTTCAATTCATTGCATTTAATGTAAGAAACAAATTAAGAAGGCTAGTCTAATAGTGCATAAAACAAAAATAAAGGATTTTTAAATTTCCTCTCAATCCTGACTGCTAATTCAGAGATATTTTCAATTCTAGGTCCTCAGCTATATTCAGATCACAGCAGGACCTTTAGTGCTCATAGTTGCTGGAAAAATTATTATTTTCTACCTCTAACTTCACCTATAGTTCAAAATGAAAGTATCAAACTACAAATATTTGTGACAGGAAGATAAATAGGCTCTATTATTAAATTATCTTTTCCCATGATAACTACTTCAATTCTTTTATCAAATTATCAGATTTTTATACTGCTGTGTGGATGCCATAACTTACGTGTTCAGTTTTGTGGATGATGCAACCTTAGACCAGACAGCTGAGAATGTTAGGCAAGGATGAATCACTATCGGCTGATCCATGTCCTCTCGGTGCAGGAGTGCACTAATTCCAAGCCCCCCAAATAAGAGGAGGACGTTTCCTCTTCCTCCCGTTTCCTGCCTGGCCATCAGCAGACACGAAACGCTCAGCAAGCACGGGGCTGCCCCGGCCGCGGGCTCCTTGGGCTGAGCTGGGAAGGGGCTGAGCGAGCAGTGAAGGAGCACCCTCAGAGCACCCCGTGAAGACCCCTGAGAAGCATGAGCAAACCAATAAATGAACTCTGAAAATTGTCAGAGTTGATGTTTCCTGAGCTGTGGCAAGATAGCTAGTAATAATATAATAGTAACAATAGCAATAATAATGGTACCTATCTGTGACTGAACACTGGCTGCAAGCCAGGTGTTATTCTAAGGGCTTTGCCTACTTTAATCCTCACAAGCACCCTACGGGTAGTTCTATTATCATTCTCTTGTTTTTAGATGAATAAGCTGAGGTTCAGAGATATTTATAGCGTCTGCAGCAGGCCAACTCCAAGGTGGCCTTTGTCATTCCTACCTGCTGGCGTTCACATTTTTGTGTGATCCCTGTCCCTGGAGTGTGGGTGGGACTGTGACTTCTTCTAACCCATAGAGCATGGCAAATGCGATGGAATGTCACTCTCATGATTATAGAACATTATCTAGAACCTCGTCTTGCTAGCAGACTTGCTAAAGAAACTCTGCTTTCTGGCTCGATGAGATAAGTGGACATGCTGGGGGCCATCCTCTAGCAAGAAACTGTGAGGGGCCCCAGGGACTGCAGGGCTCCAGGGACTGCAAGGGCTCCAGGAACTTAAGGGGCACCTAGGAACTGAGGGGGGGGGGTCTCTAGTTCCTGTGCAAGAACCTGAAGCTCTCAATCATGCAGCCCCTGGGCCTCAGATGAGGCCTACGCCTCATCTGTAGTCCAGCCTACACCTCGATTTTAACCCTGTGAGCCCCAAGCAGAGGATCTAGCTGAGCCATGCCCAGGTTTATGACCCATGAAACTGTGAGATAACAAATGTTTATTGTTTTAAGCCACTAAGTTTGTAGAAATTTGTTACGCAACAAGAAACTAATACATTTATTCAACTCAAGTTAGTGAGTGCCACGGTCAAGAGTCAACTCCAGGCTGCTGTCTGTCCCCAGCTCACGCCTGGCATGCTGGGGTGGTCCACATGCAAACAAAAGGCCCTACCGTGGCTCAGTACCTATTTGCTTCCTCTCCTTCCAGGCCAGGACGGCACCCTGAGAACACCTGAGGCCACTGGCCCTCCCCCTTGTGAAGCCTCAGGCTAAGTGCTTTCTTTTAGCTTATGTATATTGCTTGTTTTTAGGAAGTTGGTTTGAGCGGGCTGATCCCAGTAAATTTTGGGATGAAACAAAAGGGCAAGCGCATGGGCACAAGGGGCCAACCAATCAATGTAAAAGGCAAGCGCATGGGCACAAGGGGCCAACCAATCAATGTAAAGGACAAGCGTGTGGACAGGTTCTGCACCTAGGGTATAAAGGGCTCCGTCCCACAGTGCGCCGGGTCTTTGTCCCAATAGAGGCCACTGTATTGGTGCTCTGGGACTCGGACTCTAGCTCGAGCTAGTCAATAAAACTCCTTTTGATGATTTCAGCCTCAGTGACCCTGTCTCTTTGTTCTGTGGTCCTATGGTTTCCCGCTCTAACATTTGGGGGCTCGTCCGGGATTTCGCAGACCTCTGAGCAAAATTCAGTACTGAGGGAGGAGTGAATAGAGACTACGTTTTCTGGAGTACCCCAGTAGTCAGGGCCGACAAAAGACCTAGGCGGACGCGCTGGTGGGTCGTAGGTTGGGGTCAGAAGGAGACACCCTCTGACCCTGAGAAATCCCTACGGCTGACCTAGGAGCTGGAGTCTCGGTCAGAAGGGAGTCGGAGAAGAAGTCCGGACTAGGTTGGTAATTGTTTGTGTCTTTCATGTTTGTCTGTGTTGTTTGGAATCCCTGGTTGAAGGTTCGTGTCGTCCTCTGTCATTAATAACCTTTTATTTTTTTCCCTTGAATGGCTTGTAAAAACCAATCACAAGGGAAGCTAAAATAGGATCTGACGGAGGCCAAGTGTTGCTGCCCATTTCTGTGTCCAGGTGTACCTCGTGTCCCTCCCCTCCGCAGGCATGGGACAGACCTGGTCAACACGCGTGTCCATCTTGATACACCATTTTAAGGATGTGAGGGCAAGGGCACATAGTCTTTCCCTGGAGGTAAAGAAAGGAAAGTTCATCACCCTTTGCGAGGCAGAGTGGCCGACCTTTGGGGTGGGTTGGCCACGGGAAGGGTCATTCAACACCTCGCTCATTGAAAAGGTACAGGAGGTAGTCTTCAGCCCTCACGGCCATCCGGACCAGATCCCCTATATCATAGTTTGGCAGGATCTGGTCCAGGATCCGCCATCATGGCTAAAGACAATTCTGCCCGCCCCTAAGGAAAAGGCCAAAATTATGGTAACAAAAGGAACAAGGAAAAAGGAGGGGCGAAAGCCACAACCCACCAGATTACCCCCTGAGGGGTTGTCCCCCCCCCCGCCCCCCACCTGCCGGATTGGCCCCACTGAACACCTGGTGGCCAGACCTATATTTCAATCTAGAAAGAATTAGCCCTCTAGAAGAGATGGAAGGGGGAAAGTGGGGGCAGTACCAGAGGCGAGTGTCCATAAGCCGGAATGGGTTTTATGCATGTCCAGGGTTTAGAACGGGGAGATGAGCTGTGTGTGGGGGGATCGAGTCTCTACTGTGCAGACTGGAGGTGTGTGACCACCAATGATGGAGAGTGGAGATGGCAGGTACAACCTCTTTTTATCGAAATGTCTTACATCCGGCCTTGCTCACGAACCAGGTATGCCTCCAACTGTAACCTGATACGTGTGAGGTTCACAGATAAAGAGAGCCTTTTACAGCAATAACCTTGGCCACTCTTTTTGGCCTGGGGGCAATAGAAGCAGGGACAGGTATCTCATCCTTGGCAATGCAGCACAGGGGCTTCAATAGCTTAAGGGCCGCGATAGATGAAGACATGGCTAGAATTGAGGAGTCCATCTCCCATTTAGAAAAATCCATAACTTCACTGTCTGAGGTGGTGCTGCAGAACTGGAGGGGGCTGGACTTAGTATTCCTCCAGCAGGGGGTGCTATGTGTGGCCCTAGGAGAAAGAGTGCTGCTTCTATGTGGACCATACTGGGGGGTAGCTAGAGAGTCTATGGCTAAGGTCAGGGAGGGACTTGCACGAGGGAAACGAGAGCATGTACAACAACAAGGATGGTTTGAATCATGATTTAATAGCTGCCCTTGGTTAACTACATTGTTGTCCACACTATTAGGTCCACTCATTGTGCTCCTCCTAATTCTCACTTTGGGACCATGTGTATTAAATAGGTTAATAGCTTTCATTAAAGAGCAGATAAGTACTGTTCAATTAATGGTATTGCGGCGGCAATATCAAAGCCTTGGGCGTGACTGCGTAGAGATGCAAGAGGTCAGAGACCCCGAGGATGAGCAAGAATGCTCTTAAGGACCAAAAGAAGGGGGAATGTGAAGCCTCAGGCTAAGTGCTTTCTTTTAGCTTATGTATATTGCTTGTTTTTAGGAAGCGGGCTGATCCTAGCAAATTTTGGGATGAAACAAAAGGGCAAGCGCATGGGCACAAGAGGCCAACCAATCAGTGTAAAGGGCAAGCGTGTGGACAGGTTCTGCACCTAGGGTATAAAGGGCTCTGTCCCACGGTGCGGGGTCTTTGGTCCAATAGAGGCCGCCGTATCGGTGCTCTGGGACTCGGACCCTAGGTCAAGCTAGTCAATAAAACTCCTTTCTATGATTTCAGCCTCTGTGACCCTGTCTCTTTGTTCTGTGGTCCTACGGTTTCCCACTCTAACACCCTCACTGCACACTCAGCTCCAAAACTGAGGGTCCCTCAGAGAGAAGGGCATCCTGTTCCTGCCCCCTGTCCAGAGCTCTGGCTCAGAGATTTTGCCCGGGAGGAGAAGGAAGCCATAAAACAAATGGCTCCTAAACTCTTCCCAAAGAAACTGACTGCATTTCCAACACTGTGGGGAAGTCCAAGCACTTTCAATAGCATTGGAAGTTTTTAAATCACTACAAATGTTTTTTTAAAGAAAAAAATGAAAAGAAGTGGAAATTGCAGCAAAAAGAAAGTGTGAGGAGGACAATGGATTCACTGGAGACGAAGGCAGCCCTACAGGCCAGACAGGCTGCCGAGAGCCCAGGAAAGCGAGAGCAGCGCCAGCCCTCCTGGGTCAGAACAAATCGCAACCGCTGACCTTCGAAACTAACCCTTCAAAGCAGCCAAATTTGGTTAGGTTAGTTTGGGGGCAATTGATGCCTCAGGCATTGTGAAAACAATAATCAGGCAGCAATTAGTGGTGCTGCGCGGCTGAGTGTGGGGTCAGGACAGATAGTCAACAGAACTGTCAAACCAAGCTGTCTTGTGGTGGCCGCAGGCAAACCCAGGGCAGCATCGGAGATGTTAACACTGCAGAGTGGGGTGGGGGGTTGACTTCACTAATATGACCCAGACAGACCATGTCTTATTCCAGTGCCAGATGACAAGTGGGTAGGGCCATTTGTCCAGGACATAAAAATACCACTGCTTAGTCTAGTGCTTCCTCTTCTGATACACTCACCATTTTAGGCTTTTTGTTTGTCCACCTCCCTGTTCTCTTAATCTCTAACTATAGATATGCAGAAATACTCCTAGTGCCATTCTGATCCTGCTTTTGTTGACTCAACATCACAAGGGCTGCATTCTCTTCTGTCAAACACAGGCTCATATAAT